ACTCCAATAATCTTCCTAGCCCAAAAGAAGTGCTTGAGAAAGTCATAACACCTCCTCAAACAATAACAACTAAAGAGAACTTTAAGGGAATTAAAACGTTGCCTGTTTATGTTGGGGTCCAAGTTGGCAGGCAGGCAGAGAGGGAGGCCAAGGGAGCACTGTACACAGTAAAACAAAAATCCAACTCAGCGCTTAGCCCCATCAGCCCTGATGATGACACACTGGAACAGGTGTCATTTATAGACAGCTCAGGGAAAAGCCCTCTTACCCCCGAGACTCCCAGCTCAGAAGAAGTAAGCTACGACCTTACTGTAAAAACCCCTGATGGCTTCATGGGATTCATGTCAGGGAAACCAAGCCCCATTTTGGAAGTATCTGAGGAATCGGAGGGAGATGACCGTAACAAGGTCGTTTTCTCTTTTCAAGAGGCTTTACCAGAGAAAACAACTGGTGTTGATGCCACCCATGAAGACCTTGTGAATGCTAATAAACAGATAACTGAAATAAATGACAACATTCATAATCTGCAGTTGGCAAATAAACTGAACCAGCAAGAAACAGCTAGCATTTGCAGGCAGGATGAATTAACTGGGCAACAGGATCAAGAAGTCTCAAAAGACAAAGGTATTGCATACATTGAGTTTCCTCCACCTCCTCCTCTGGACTCCTCTTCAGAAATTTCAGACCCTGAGAGGAAAGGCTCCTGTGCATCTTCAGAGACAGAGACAGAAATGATGGAAGTGAATCTACAGGAAGAACAAACTAAACTTCTGCAGACTGAACCCATTATACGAATTCAACCCCCTTCCCCAGTGCCTCCTGGCACTGATGACAGCCTTTCAAACGATAAAGAAGCAGACGAAGAAGAGGAGGACGATGAGTCAATCTTCCAACCAATTCCTTTTAAGAAATTTACTTTCAAAGTTGAAGAGGAGGATGAGGAGGAAAAGAAAAAAAAGGATAAGGAAAAATTATCCAGAGCCAACACAAAACAAAAACATGACAAAAATGGAAATCAGAAAGAAACTAATGTTGGAACCAATGGCTCCAATGGTTCCAGTGGTTCCAATGGTTCTAAATGTTCTAATGGCAAAGGAGAGGATAATGATTATGAACAAAACGGAAATGACCAGTCAATAACAGACTGTTCAATAGCTACAACGGCTGAATTTTCTCATGACACAGATGCAACAGAGATAGACTCTCTTGATGGATATGAACTTCAGGATGAAGATGATGGCCTGTGTGAACAGGCAGATTTACGTCTGTACGGTCTTCCAGACAGCCGGAGAGATGTCTGGGCCACAGATACTTTTAGATCCTCAGACAGATGTTTTCCCCAGACTAAACTGGAAGTTATTGAAGAGGAGAAAACCCCAGAAGAAAATCCAATGGATAATTTTAAAACAGATACTCCTATGAATGGTAGAAAACCTGATGATGTTAGTAAAAATGGAGTAAAATGTTTGGAACAAAAACCTTCAAATCAAGAGGGATTTTCAGACACATATTTTAGTTACAAACTAGAGGAAGAGTTTAACTCTCCTTTCAAGACTGTCGCCACCAAAGGGCTGGACTTTGATCCCTGGTCCAGTAAAGGTGGTGAGGATGAAGTTATTGACACAGGAGGGACTCAGGGGAGCAATGGTGAGCCTAAGCCATTTGGACTTGCAGTAGATGAACAATCGCAGGCCACCACACCAGATTCTACCCCAGCCCGAACGCCGACTGATGATAGCACACCAACGAGCGAGCCAAATCCATTTCCTTTCCATGAAGGAAAGATGTTTGAGATGACCCGCAGTGGTGCAATTGACATGAGCAAGAGGGACATGGTAGAAGAGAGGCTCCAGTTTTTTCAGATTGGTGAGCATTCATATTCATCAGGCAGGTACAATGTGAGAGACTCAGAGATAGCAGCTTCTTCACAACACAGAGATTATTTCACAGTTGAGGATCCCAAAGACACATCAACAGTCCCTCAGGTCTCCACTCAGACCACTACTGTCCAGTTAGAAATCTCACATCCAGCTAGCAGTTACAGCACATGTAGAGAGTCGTCTTCAAATGCTGAGCTTAAATTTTCCACTTTTAGAACAGGAGTTAAACTTCCATCTGAGAACCCCTCGAGTTCCTCAGACAGCTGTTCTAAAAGTAAAATTGTGTTTTCTAATGACATGACCTCGGGAAGGACTTTGGAAAATTTGTATTTCCCATCTTCAAACCATACAGAGTATTCAAATGCAATTACAACAAACACTCCAGAAACTTATTTGAATAACAGCAGTTCTTTAAGTGTGTCTGAACAGAGGGACTGTGTGAATCAGACCTCAGGTAACCTCATCCTCACTTGCCAATCCAGAGATTATAGCACTGCACCTTCACAACAGATACGCAATTATGAAAGTTGGAGTAGCAATACCTGTAGTTTAAGGTCAATGCCTAATAATGTTCATGTAAAAGTTGGCCATACTTATTGCATGGTCAGCTTGTCAGGTTCAGGTCTACATGAAATACACCAAATAGATCCTGCCTCCAATGAGCTGCCAGTAAAAAGCAAGGAAGATGGACTTTGTCTAAATGTAGCAAAAAAACACCCAGAAACCAAAAAGGTCAAGCCCAGGGTATGCAAGTCTAGGTTACCGATGCCAAGAGTGCCAAGCCACAAACTATGCAGCCAAAATCAACCAATAAGAAATTACAAAGCACAATATAATGTTAATAAATTCCAAAATGTAAATAGTACAAAGTATAGATGTAAAAAAAGAGTAGACCCTTTTGAGAATTCATTTTTTAAATCTAGAATTCCAATGATAAAAGCCATTAAATGTTCTTTTTCCTCTTTGGAGTCAAAGCAGGTTAGTGTCATGTCTTCAGTCAGTGCTAAAAGCATTCAAATGACCAGGGATAATAAACAGGTCACAAAAAGCCCTATTATTGAACAAGGCCTTCCTTTGAAAAGAAGTTCAAATGGGACTGCGAGAAATAGCAATGCAGTGTCCCAAACAAAGTTGAAAACTAGCCCCAGCAACAGCCAGGTAGCCAACTTCTTTGATCAAGCTATTACGAAGAAGGCGGTAACGCAGTTAGAAGGGAAAACCCCGCCCACTGAGGATGGACAGAGATGCAGCCACAGCACAACCAGGAACACTCCCTTGTCAGAAACATCTCAAGCTTCTAGAAGTTCCTGCCCTTCACGCACCTGTACCTCCACCTCCACCTCGAGCACCACATCAACACCGTCAGCTAGAGACACGAAAGCTGAGGTTGAGCAGGCCAGCAGTGTGAGCATGAAGAGCAGGAGGAAGAGTAGGCGGTCTCTTGGAGAAAAGGAGCAAGAGCAGAAGGTGGAAGGGAGACAGGTTGATCAACCACTCAAGGCTCTTGTCACGGAGACGGAGACTAGTTTGTAAACTCTTTCTAAACACTTGTTATACCTAATCTTCCTCTACGAGATGCATGCAGCTGGTGTGGGTGCTTTGTGATGTGACGTAAGTGTAACTGTCACTTTCTTCTGTCTTTATCGTTGTCCCTGTCCTGTGCTGTCTGAGCGAGATCAAGACATTGAGGCTAAACTATGGAAAGACAGTCCTTAAGTCATCAAAAATGAAACCTTGTCTTTGGATCGAGTGCTTTATTCATATGCTAAATATGTTTGATCTTTACAGTCTGAAAAGCAAAGGTCTAAAACCTCTAGGGTGTGGGTTGTGGTTAAGTTTCTTGATATGAAGAAATAGTCAGTGTGCAGCTTATAATCAGTCTTTGCTCACTGATTGCAGTGTGAGTGCCATCAAGCTAAAACACAGGATACAGTGGTCATGGCATCTGCTGCTTATTTTCCCCACTCTGTCCATGAAGGGCAAGGGTCAACAGAGTAAAGGCAGGGGTGCCTAACCAAGAAATATTTGGAATGTTGCACTCTACACACAGCTGCTGTTGAGTGATTGCACGTTGATTGCACGTCACTGACGTTGCAAAACAATTACAATAGTAACAGTCTGTCTTTGAAAAAAACATCATCTACATTTAACAAGTTGGCAAACTTTTCTGTCAGTGTAGGTGTTACACTGGTATTAAGTCTCCCAGCAGTTTCACATACATTATCACATTATCATTTTGACTCAGACATAAAGGTCAAAACTTTACTGTTGGTCTGCAGAATTGATAGCTTGTGTATGTTTTAGTCTGCTTGCCTAGTTGGTAGAAATTGATGGGCTTATTTGTTTTTGTTCCGTGAGATCACTGTGAAACAATTCATCGGCTGAATTTGGCGATCAGATGAATGTCACTTCCAGGTGTTGTGCAAATTCATTGGATTTCAAATTAAAGCCATGTATTGTCCTTTTCAGTGAACATAGAGAATGTTGCCTGATGTTAGATGCTTGGTGTTAGTGATGTGACATGAGGCAAATTCTAGTACTAATACTTCTAAACAAACTTAACTTGGAACTTTTTTTTTGCTTTTCTGGCCAAACTGAACCTCCTCCTGGGTTAATTCTGTCTTTGTTACATTGATAATAGTTTGACAGAAACCAAATAATAATTGGGTCAGATCATTTTGAGGATATTGTTTGTAAAATTAAGGTCTAATTAAATGCATGTACAATGTGAAACATATTTTTTAAACCACAACTAAAAGGACTGTTTAGGTTTTTATTTATTTATTTATTTTCCAAGTCATTGTCAAGTCATTGAGGAGAGTCTGGTCAGAAATGCTCCATTTAGTCAAAAATGAGACATGGGATAGTGATCTTAAGTTGGTCTGTATAATTAAAATAACATTTACTTGAGACATTTCTGATAACTTTAGGAATCATGTTAACTTTTTATAACTTAAGTTCACAATCCCTATTTGTACTTTTTTGTTTTAACAATTATTTTAATACTATATTCTCTGTTTCTGTTCTATGACTTTATTTTTTTTTTTTTAATTTATTTATTTTTTAAACACCACATGTTAACTTCGTTTATGTCCTGATTTTCCTCGCTCCATTGCACAGGCCCTCAGAGTCCCTGTGAGAGAACAGACCTGCGTATGGCAATAGTAGCTGACCACCTTGGACTCAGTTGGACTGGTGAGCTTACGCACATGTATTTACTCACTACATAGTTTTATAGGAACAATGACCTGCAGTGTTAGATGTAAATGTAAGTTGTACTTTTTTAGGAAAACAGTCACTGCATACATGATGTTGCTGCTGAAGACACGGCGAATTTAAATGTGAATGAATTAGCCTTTTAATTTCAACTTATGTAGTGTCTGTTGCCCTCTAGTGGCCGCACATTATATCGTGTATTGACAGTGACGCAGTAGTATTACTCTGCAGTATATATCTGTACGCACAAACGTGTTTGTGTTTAGAAGTGTTTAAAAATGCAGTTAACTTAGTATTTGTGTTTTATTTATATTTAAAGTATGTATTGTATTATATGTACAACTGTTCTTTTACAAAAGACCCCAAAAAAACAGGAAATGCAAACACTTTTAGTATCATCTTCTGATGAACCATATGATGACATTTTTATACACAGCACATCACACTCAAGCAGAGATAAGGGTGTGTCCTCTGCAGTTTAGTCCAAGTCTGTCCACCTGCCCTGCACTGTTGTACTCCTCTCTCTCTCTCTCTCTCTCCCTCTCTCTCTCTCTTGTCTGCCTCTCTCTCCCCTCTCTCTCTCTCTCTCTCTCTTTCTCTGTTGCTCTCCCTCCTCTCCCCCATGTCTGTGTGCATATGTGTGTGTTTTCATAGATGCACTGTCATCCTCCACAGTGTACTTCAGTGTGTGTAGTTGTGCCTGACCGTCAGAGGCTGGGTAACAGCAGGGGAAAAAAATCCAATTCTTTTTAATGACTGTTGCTGATGCAGAGCTGCAGTGACCATGCAGATCAGCTGAACAAAATGTTCTCCGTTTTTAGATTTATAGGCCGTCTGCTTGTCAGTGCCGCATTGTTACTTACTCATTGTTTACTAATTTGTCAGCCTCTGTCTGACCTGTGCAAAGCTAAAGCTAAGCGTCCCTGTGAAGTGAGAGTACCTCCTGGAGTCTGTGGGATTGAGAAAAACCTGAACATGAACATACTATGATTTAAAATGTTTTTATATAAGCTTTTTTTTTGTCACACCTGTCCTACCAAGGCTCCCAAATTAACAATCACAAACCTTAACGTAGGTTTGACCATTGTGTGTTTGTGTGCAGAGCTGGCCAGGGAGCTGGATTTCTCTGTGGAAGAGATCAACTCCATCAGAGTGGAAAACCCTAATTCCCTGACAGCACAGAGCTTCATGCTCCTAAAGAAATGGGTGCACAGGGATGGTAAAAATGCTACAAGTAAGCAATGTGGGTCTGTGTGTATTCCTGCACTGTATGCATTGTTTCTGAGGTGAGAAAAGTGAGGTAATAGCTTTTACTCTGGGGGACTTATTTATAAATACCACACACCTTTTACCGTATAGTAAAAGTGGACTGACATGTAGTATGGTATTTTGTGAATGTGGGCAAATTAATACGTGCTAATGTGGGATTTAATTTAATACTATAATTTTACTCTATGGAATTTATAAATAATCAAAAAATGTATCACAGCAGCAGTACAACCATGGTAACCTTGTGCTGCACAGTGGCTGAAATGAGGTCAAATACTGACTTTATATATGCTCATATCTGACTTTGCCGTTGGAGATTCATATTACTGACAAGGAACACATTCCACACTGTCAACACACATTAAAATGTTTATTTCAGCAGCAGTGAAATATATTGGCCAAGAGCAGAACATCTCTGCTTCAGGTCAAGGCTGCGTTTTTATCACTTCTAACTAATAACATGCCTGAGATCTGAGGTCTGATGAGAAAATGTCATACACCCCAGGAGCCTGGATGTAGATGCTAGTGTTGGTAGGACTGTGAATTTGGAACACAGCCCGAAAAAGAGGGGTTACAGTCAGAAGTGGCCGTCCTTCATAGAAGCCTTGCAACTTAATATAGTTGAGTTGAGCCCTTGAGGTGTCTGTCCAGGAAAATATAGTTGGTGATCTGTAGCATCTGTATTTGATGCTGTTGATATTCTTACATTATTTCTTACATCCCATGTGCACTGGTTTCAACTATGTGTGATAACTTTTCTTTCTTCCATTTTCTTTCCATTTTAGCGGATGCTTTAACGGCAGTGCTGACAAAGATCAATCGGTTGGATATTGTGACTTTGCTGGAAGGGCCCATATTTGACTACGGTAACATATCAGGCACACGCTGCTTTGCCGATGATAACGCAGTATTCCCGGATCAGTCCGATGGTAAAGTGTAGCCCACCCTAGCTGAACTTTCAGTCTATCTCTCAGTCTGTCCCTTCACACTTCTTCACCTCTTCTCTCAGACAGATAGTCAGACCTTACTGTGCCAAAAAACAGGCTTAACCCAGAGCAGAAGTTAATTAGACACTGATGGAAATGACTTAATGCTCCAACAGGTTTACTGAGCTCAGAGCTAATGAACTGGCAGGTAATAAAAGCATTAGGGTTAGTTGGCTTTATTGAGCTGTCACCCATGTTAGCTTGACAGTTTTCCAGCCATGTGAATGAGTAGAAGTGCCTAGTATTTTGATGATAGGTTCCTAAAAATGTTACCGAAGTGGTGCATGAAACCTAATTTTGTGTGGATGTTTTTGTAAACAGCCTGGAGAGCATGAGACTGGTTTTAAAGAAGTTATCTTTCTGTACCACCTGAAAATTGTTGCTATTTATTTTGCTAATAATGGAAAAAGGAGAAATTAAAATTTTCTCCTGGATAATACAAAAAACATAGACCCTATATAAGAAATGGAAACTTTAGTGAAGCTGCAGTATAATGTGCTGGTTAAGGAAGTAGTTAATAATACATGAAAAAAACAGGGCTTCTCTTAGAGTCATAAAAAGCAATTACTCTATGTGTGCATATTCTTAAGTACTAGATAAAGGTCCTATTTAAAGGAATTTCAATGAAGCATAATGTAATTGAATTGTCTTGAACTCAAAATCTGGTTACAAAAGTGCTGAAACTACATTTGGACTAGATATTGTTATAAAACAGACAATGTTGACAGTTTATAGTTAAGTCCAGAGTCTGCAACAAGGAGGTGTTTACCATTTCTTATGTTTATGGTCTATGGTAAAAACAATTTCATTTCTTAATGGAACATAATACTAACCACTGTAGTCTGTGTAGTCTGCATGTTTAAGTATTACAAATCCTCCCACCCCCCTTCTCTCTTTCTTGCCTAATGAAATTTAAATGTGACAACATCTGCAGTAGTTAGCGCTTCTTCATCATCTGAGGCCTGAAGTCAGCCGTTCACTGATATGAACTTTAAATCACAAATGCATGGCTGTGGCTTTATATGAAAGGCTGCCTGTTGATTAGCTGTCATTGTGTGTTGTTGACAATAATACACTCTTAACACTCCTCAAACGGGTGGAGCCTTTCCAGCTCAACGTGTAGTTGTTTCTGTGTGGTGCACACTGCCTTTGTGTCACTGCTGTCAGCTCTCCTCTACCTGTCATCTCACTGGTTCCTTCCAAGCCTCCCAGCCTCTTTGCTGCTCTGTAGCTTCTCCTGCTTTGAGACATCAAAGTCCCTGCCTCCTCCACGCTGCTCCTCTCGCTTCTGAGTAACCCACCACTATTAAGCAACACCTCTAACCAGCTAGTTCTCACTAATGGCTAACACTTGCTGATTTTAGAAAAAAAGATGCATTTCTCTCCCTACAGAACACTGTGTTGTCCAGCAACAGAAGACAGTGTTGCTGTGTTCTTGCATTCAAATCTGTGTTTGACAAGAAGGGTAGAAGCAGTGATTGGGGTGGATGCACATTTACGAAATTGACTGCAACTATCAACATTCTCCTAATGGGCCTTTCTTTTGTATTTGATCATAACTTGTAGGAAGACGATTTGAAAATATCGCTTGTTCTTTTTCTGTTATAATTTGAAGCTGATGCAGAGAGAGTTATAACTATATTTATATATAATTTACATTTTCAATAGAAGAGACCATTAGAATGAAAAGGCCTGGTTGAAAGAAAAAGATATCTGTTGTTTTCAACACATTACAGTTGTTTGGGGCTTTTCAAGTACTGTGGCTGGAGATGTAATTCACAGTTCTACTTGGTAACAGCCTGTCTGTGTTGACAAGATAGTAAAGCAATGTCTATCTTGAATAATAGTTTCAGTTTTTTCTACCCAGTACTCAGTACTAATGCCCTCAAATGTAAAAACGCTCTGTGTTGAAGGCAGCTGATTTTTCTTTAACACAACCAACATACCACTGGTTTGTGAAACCAGGATAAAACTAAAGTTTTTAACTGGGCTGCTTTGCTGTAGACTGTAGGCAGCTAAATCTTGCTTATCTTTCAAGATAAACAATCCCACCAAGTCTGGTGTGCAATATTTTCACCCCTGCAGCTTCAGAAAACCACAGCTTCCATCAGCCACACGATCTCTTCATTGTCTGATTTAATTAGTGATGTTTTTCCATTTCTGTCTGACACTTGTTGTTTATGTGTTTTGTCAAAACCTAAATAGTTTCTGTATTTAGTCCTCAGCCTGTTCACCCTCGCCATGCTTCCTCCACATCATTTAAAAACACCTCTTTCTTCTCCCCTCCTAGTACCAATTCACCTTCCTCTTCCATCCTTCAGTGTCCATCTCTCCAACATTCTGCCTCTTCACCTCCTGTGTACCTCATGCCCATTGCTCCTGTTCTTCCTCAGTTTTCCTCTTCCTCCTCCTTCTACCCCTCAAAGATCTTGTAGCTGCTCCTCAGTCTCCTCTGTGCCCCACTGTCTCTGTGCCCTCTCCCTTCCTCATTAATCCTTTTCACATTTCTAACCACACATCTGGCATCTTTCTCTATTCTCCTTGCCCCATCTTCTTTCCACCTGCTCCTCAGTTTCCTTCTCCCCATCCTGTTGTTTCTTCTACCTCCATTCTTCTGTCTCCTCCTCTAACAACTCTTCAACACGTCCCTCTCTGTTTTTAATATCTGCCCCCTCTGGTCACTCACCTCCTCCCTGCCCTCCATGGTTTGCCCTGTTTTCACCAAACACTTCTGTCTCTCATCCCCTACATGACCCCCCACCCTCTCGTGTACCTGAGGTTTACATATAGGATTTTTGTTGGTTGCTCTGCTCCTCTTTGCCTCCAGTTTAAAACAACAGCAGTAACCAGTTTTGCTGAAGTCTTTGTTCAAAAATTACAGTAATGACTGTAAACAAAAACATAAAAGCTAATTCTTGTTAATACTTTGAAAGTGCCAATTTTCAGAATTTGAGCAGCATCAACCAATTACATTAGTGTTGCAGAAATATTATAATGTCTTTATAGCTACAATCCCTTTTATTACCTGTCTGATGTACTTATTGATTTTATTTATTATACATTTGTGTGTGTGTGGCTTATGTGTTGAGGGTTCAGCACTACCATAACAC